GTAGTAGTAGTAGTAGCAGCAGTGAGAGTCTTATGAGTCAAACAAGAAATAAACGGGTGCAGCAGCTGCAAGCAGCAGCAGGGCGGGTTTCCTCGTAAATAGAAGTGGTGACAGCGGTGGTCGTAGTTGCAAGTAGTTGTCGTTGTCGTCATAGCAGCGGCAATTGCAGATACCTCACCGGAAAATCAAGGCACAATTTGTTGCATCCGTCCGACGCTACCCTTGCTTCCACATGCGGGGACGAATCTCAGGCTTGTCGGCTTCGTACAAGGCGAGCAGCCATATCCAGCCGAATAGTTCTTTATTAACCGAGCGCAGTTTTTCAACCAATAATGAAAATTGATAGCACATTAGAAGCAGTTGTGCTGGCGGAAAGGAAAAGGCACAAGGAGTAAGCGTAGCGGCGTAGTAGTATTTTGTCGGAGTACGATAGAGCCGTGGCAGCAGTGACAGTGATGGTGTTTTCGCCGCACTTGGATTCTTATAGTCGTGGTGTTCACCGCCACCAGGCATCCATTCCTTGCTTCGGAGACCATCAAGCAGGGCACGCAGAGTGTTGTTTTTCGTCGTTTCCGCCAGCCATCTGATTTCGGCTCATGAAGGCAAGCACAGTTCAAATTGGAATCTGTAAGAAATCCTCATGCAAGCGTTTTTAGAGGCCCTGATCTGGGCCCACACTGTACGAACGAGGAGTGGGATTTGGGCACGCAGGCTTCGCTCGTTGGATGTGTATCGACCCTCTTTCTTCAAGCCCGACAGCACATCGGATTCAACAGGGTCCCCGAAACCGGAAAGCCCCGAAACTCCTTCACAAGCCCGACAAAACCTACGAAACCTCAAGAGTCCAAATCCACTGTGACCCTTCAACAGCCGCAAAAACGCCCTACAACCCTCCAACACCCTTAGAAATGCCTGAAATTTCGGCCTGGGAGCATGGACGAGGCTGAGCCGTGCCAGCTTTGATCGGACCATGGAGGCCCGTGGGTTCGGCTGATGCTTCTGTCTCTTCTTGGTCTTAGTCCCTTGCGTTTCTGTTTGTGTTACTGTTGGTATTAGGATTCTGAATTGGGCTCGTAGTAGTATCGGTGTCAGTATCAGTTGTCGTATTCGCATGATATACATAGGAGTACTGCACCACGGGGCATGAATTAGCATCTTGTGTAGCAATGGTTAATATTTCTGTGCCTGGAACACTGAGCATGGCCATGTGTTTTGTTGTTGAAAGGTTTCAGGTTTAGTTCCGGGATTGCAATCAGACTTTTAATGAGGGTCGGAACCTTCGAGACCTTTGCTTGCGAGGCTGTTTTGGGATTTGCTGAGGCTGTAGCAGGTCCAGGGTTGCAGGAGGAGGGGTAACAGTTGTAGGTGGACTAGAGGCGAATGTTACCCTAGCTGCGGGAGGAGCTGCAGCAAAACCAGTAGAAGTGCTGCTGCTGATGCTCGAATGCCGGACACGTCGTGGATTTGATGGTGCTAGGCATACCAGGGCTATTGACTCCCGCCGCAAGCACCCCAATAACACGAACCTTGTCCAAGCGACCCTGACCCTGGACACATTCATGTGGGAAAAAGGATTTTGTTGCATGGCCCTGCAGGTTGTCTCGCGGATGTTCTTGCGTAGTTGCTTGCTGAATGTCCCGCCTCAAAAATAACATCCGCAGAAGTGTCTGCGCCAAAATTCGTGCACAACGTCGGCCAGCAAGTCCTAGCGATGAAAACATTCACCCACATCGGCGCAAAGGTTGCTTGCCGCTGGAGAGAACAGACAACTCACGGCGTATTGAGTTTCACCATGTTCCACCCCTCGTGGAAGTAATTAAGGGCCATGGTCCCTCACGTGACAGAAGCACTGGCGGTGTTCATGGTAGCTTTGGCATCGGTGCTGGTTGTTTTGATGGCTGTAGGAGCCTGGGAGACAAGCAGCTTCAGTGGCACTGTTCTTAAGCGTCACCAACTACAACAGGTCAAAATGCGGCATAGTCAGGTTGCTATGGGAAGGTGAAGTGCCACACTTCTAGTCGATTGAAGTCTTCTTGCTTCCTGCAGCGTCTCGTGGCAGAGGCTTTTGTCAGGAGCTTCGTCGGGGCTGCGGAGGAGGCGATCG